GCTTCCAATATACGCACTTAAGCCAAGAAGTGGGGCAAGCAAATGTATGCAAGAAATTGACACCCGGAAAATACTGTCAACGAAGTGGACCCTATTCATTCCCGTTTCTATTCGGAATTACTCTCATATTGTGTGGGAGGAAGGTGTGCTTAATAACAGCCTCCAATTCTAGTGCATATTCATAATGGTTGCGCTATAATGAAGGAAAAAGACTAATTGTCATCATGGGGTAAATACAAATATAATGAGGAAGGACATTTTTGTGTGTATACAAATGGTCACATAGCAGTAAATAGCTGTGGGTCATTAAGACCCACAGCTTAGCAAGTTTGAGCTGGTTTAAAGCACTGAATACTTTGGCATTCACTTAATTGATGGTATTCAGACTCTGGTGGTGTCAGTGCCTTTGCCACCAAGTGGGTTTATTGGATTTTTCAGGCAAGGCCAATGCTGCGCTAAAATTCTCTTTGATCGTAGAGCGCTACGTCTGTTTTTTAAAGCCGGTCGAATAATTGATTAGACCTTGAAATAAACGGTGACCACAGAACAGGCACCTCCTCGGCAAAACATTGATTTTTATGCAACAGGAATTACCCTTTCACTTTCTTTTTTCATCAAAGTTTGATAATAGGATATGCCTTTTCAAAATTGTTATTTAGATTGAATCATATGTATTCGAGGCACATCAATCGGGAGGTTTTTAAACAAACTGAAACCAATATTAAGGCTTAATTAGACAACCATTTAATAAGACAAAAAAGTAAAGAAAGCTAGTAAAGTAAGCTAGCTATGTAAATTTCTCCTCTGTGAGATAAATAAAGCACATCTTATCTCTTAGTACTTAGGCCTGTCGCAATATTCAATAAATCAATTAATCGCATGATAATTAAAATTAGCTTGATAGTTTTCCTGGCCGCGATGAATTCCATTAGCATGCTTGTTTGTTTTCCCATCTCTCTCTCTTTCTCTCTCTCTCGGGTCAGAGAACCGCAAAGTGGTCACGCGTGACGCGAGCAGACTGAAATAACTCAAAAATACAGAATACAGCCAAAACAGGACCGAAACCAGGACTAAACTAGGACCTAAACCAGGACTAAACCAGGACCTAAACCAGGACCTAAACCAGGACTTAAACAGGTTTGACAACGGGGGACACAGTAGTTGTTCTCATTCAGGCTCTAGTTGTGACTAAACTAGCGCAGTTAGCTTACCAGCTAGCTAGCCTGTTCGCCGATGCGAAAGTATTGTTTAATAATAAAATAAACTGATGATGCACCTCCGTGAACACATACTGCTGTTGTATCAAGTCTCTGGAAGGTCTCTGGACAAAGAGAAGCTGCAGAGCTGCATTATTGGCAAGAACTTTACACAAAAAGCCGCTAGCATGATGCTAACAAACTTTTTACTTCCGCCACTTCCGGCGGTGTTCTTTAAAAATAAAAGTGTATTTCTCTTTGAAAAGGTGTACCTGCATTATTATCATTGTATTAGATGAAAATGAACTCAGAACGACAATACTATCGCCTATTGCAATAAATTCTGATTTTATCGTCCAGCAAAATTTGTAATCGTGACTAGTACTGCATAATTACCTCATGTTTCAGCGGTACCGCTTTCGTCAGAGGAGACACATGATGGTGTGACACGTCTCTTATCAGCTGTTTTTGCCGGATGCGGTCAGTCTGACAGATCTCACAGATGCGTCGCTTAATTGTGGTCTCTGGAGAAGTGAATCCCAGGTGTGAGCCAAGGTGAAAGCCCCCTCGTCTCTGTTGATGGTCCGTGCGCCCTGCTTCGTGATTTCCATCGCGATTGACGGGTAGTTCCAAAAGGATTGAAGTATTTAACACGTAAATCTGACAGCCATTGTTCTTTATTTGTTTGAAAATTGTGTCGTAGTTTATATATCACTGCTAAATACTGGAACTTTGTAATGCATCTTATATCAGTATTTTATCATATTATATTGTCAAGGACTACAGATGGAAAGTAGCTGGTGCTAAATCTGGTGCCGCCATCTCTTTAATATAAATGCACATTGTCCTTAATAAATCAAACTCTAAACTCTATTTTAACGATATATCTTGTCATTAATTGAATTTCTCCTACGAGGATCAATAAAGTATCTCATGTAGGGATACAGTACTGTATAATGGTATATTATGCATGTGTTCTCCATGATTGGCTGTATATAAACAACAATTACAATTATTTTTGCCATTTCTGTTTCATAAAAGTAGCTCTAAATCTAAAAGGTTGGAGACCGCTGAAATAGTTGTAACTGCAGGGTCAAGGTCAAAAACGTGGTATTTTTAAAATGAAAAGGCAGACATCGCCTTTAACTGTGACCTCTCTTCAGTTTTATTATTTTCACTTTAATTCAAAATAGTCTAAGTCTGGGGTCTCCAACCTATTTCAATCAAAGAGAAAGAGAGAGCTATTTTTTAGCAGTTGTATAAAAATCTATATAATATTTAAGACCGAACATGGAGAACACATGTAAAATATACCATAATATTATATAGCCCTATATTTATTTCTATTATAGATACATATGTAAGGACACAAAATGTATTCATTCAAGATCATGTGCTAAATTCTAAATCCGTTGGCGAGTTACCTGAAAGGAGCTGGCGAGCCACTGGTAGCTCCCAACTCCTGGTGTAATGGCTCTTTTTACCCAAGTGTGATTTAAATTCCATTATTCATCCAGTCTATTGTTATTGTTTTATTCTCCTTTTTTTCTTCATGTCACTCATTCTTCAAGGCAGAGACTACAATAATCAATCAGTAATACTTTTCATGGTTGTCAAAAAAAAAAGAGTCGCTCCTATAATTTAACTGCTTTGTGTACTTGTACCTGGCGGCACGGTGGCTGAGTGGATAGCACTCTCGCCTCTCAGCAAGAAGGTCCTGGGTTCGAATCCCGGCCGGACCAGGGCCTTTCTGAGTGGAGTTTGCATGTTCTCCCCGTGTCTGCGTAGGTTTCCTCCGGGTACTCCGGTTTCCCCTACCACTAAAAATATGTACAATAGATCTGGCATGCGCCTCCTGTTCGGCGACCCCGCTCCTATCTCTGTGTGGAGTGAGAGGACAAGTGCTCAAAAAATAATAACAATTGTAAACCGCTTTGTGACCCTTGTCTGTGAAAGGCGGTATATAAATAAACATTACTTACTACTACTTACTTATTATTTCACCATGTTCAAATACAACTCTGAGAATGTGCTTTAACGTTATTAGTAACTGTTTGAAACCATATTTGTCTCCCTATGCATGGTGGAAAGCAGAGCGCCAAAGCCTCTTATGTAACGTCTTATCCAAACATTCAAGGAGCCATTCGCTTCAAAAAACTAGGCCAGTAAAATAATTACTCACACGAATAATAGGAAAAAGCAATGGGAGCAAGAAACGAGGAGAGATTCATCTGAGAAGCCCGTTTGATTACATTGTAAATTATAAATAATATGGGATTTTCTCTTGCGTCTCCCTGTTCTTTCCAATCCACGCTCTTATAATTCCTTCTCCTTATGCATGAATCTCTTCCTTGTGAACTTTGCGGTGTTGTGGCAAGCATCGTCCTGTTATAACACACGGCTTTGTGCACCGTGGACCAATGCGAACGTGACAAGTCGGCGTGTGGAAAGTCAGCGAGGCCAGGTATGACCGAGGAGAAAGACATCCACTCCACTCCTCTCGCTCGTAACCATGGTGACGTGAAGTCAGAGCTGCAAAACACATTGATCATTCTCGGCACTGTCATCATTATTACCCGAATAATTTCTTCTCCCCTCTGCGAATCCAACTTCTCTGCTCCTCGCACGCTACTCCCTACAGAAGATAATTGACTGTATTGTAGTGTACATCACATAGGCTGTAATTGTCTTTGGAAACGGCAATGGTAAAGGATTGTTTGTAATGCATTGGTTTTATGTAACACTCAGAGACGCTTCACATTCACTCCATAAACTACAACAGGAGCCACAGCTGCCCCGGGACACGCTGACAGAAGCGAGGCAAGCAGTATGTGACATCAGCCCCTCCCACCACCAACCATTCACACACACCAGACTCATTCGAGGGCCAGGGGTCTCCAACATTTTCCACCCGGAGAACTCCTTTCTCAGGACTAGAATGAGACAGAACTACTCTTAAGCATCCGGTGAAAGATGAGTCTATTGAATGATGAGAGAAAGTTTTGGATTGGGAACTGTTATTATCCACTGCCATTATTTCTATTTGTAACATATTTAGTTTTCATTTACTTAAGTTGTGGGCATGTGATTAATATATTTTTCAGTAGATAGATCGATAGATAGATACTTTGATCCCTGTAGGAGAAATTCAGGTATCCAGTAACAGCAAAAACACATCCATCCATGCAAACAAAACAAATAAATTGATAATTCTAGAAAGCTAACAGTAGTAATAATACAATGCAACAGTACTTTAGGTCACAGCAGCAGAGGTGGAATAGCCTCTGGGTTCGGACCATTTTCTCTTCTCTGGTCCATTAGCATTTTTTTAAAAGTCAGCATTCCTCCTGAGGATTTTGACCTGATCCGCCGGACTTGCTGCCGTTTTCAGCGCATTCAAAAGTAATTCAGAATATTTATGTAAATCTAAATCATTTGGGGAGATACTTTTCTTCCTGAGCCACAGGTTGGAGACTTCTGTTCTAGGCAATGTGGGTGTAGTGTCTTGCCTAAACACAACAAATGTTTCAATTCAATTCAAATAACTTCATCTGCGAGGAACTTCATTAGCAGACCGCGCACCAGTGGGTATACATAAACCCAACAGAAACACAACATATAAGATGCAATAATAGTGCAGAAATGCAGTATAAAAAACATAAAACAGATCATAATCTGCTTCAGCCAAATCAGACCTTTTCCTATTCAGCTGTTTAAAAGGCGAATTCAGGTTTGGCACTTTTGCCGTCCCAACCTACAGATATAGTTTGATTGTGATTTATTTATTTTTTCCCTCACGTACAGACACACCCTTCAGAGATCAACAGGAGCGAGATCTAAAGGTGGCGTTGAAGGGTACGGACCCCTCCATCCCGCTGGTTTTCGTCAGTGGGAACCATGACTTGGGAAACACCCCCACGCCAAAGACCATCGAGCAGTTCTGCGACCAGTGGGGAGACGACTACTTCAGCTTCTGGGTAAGGAAAGCCTTTTGGAATATGTTTTGTGCTGCTATTAAAGATGCTATACCTGATTTTTTTTCTAATGAGTTCATAAAAATTATTCCTACATACAATTTGTATTGTAATCCGTGTCTTGATTGAAAACTTGAGCTCATGGATTCACCTTGTGTATGAATTCAGGCCGAATAAAAGTCTTTAGGAGGAAAGCGGGTGTCACGCTAAAAGACTTTAGCGTGACACCCGCTTTCCTCCACTCACAGAACGAGGAGCGAACACGCCGCGTCCTCTAGAGTCTACAGCGCTGCTAAACACAGTAGCATGTTAGCAGAATTGGCTATAACTTCTCTGGCTGTAACTGCAGACACAGAAAAACAGCCCAAACGACACAACAGTGAGGAAGAAAAGAGGGAACTAAACCCAAAAAATGATCAATGAAGAAATGAAGCCCGGGTGAACATAGCTAGCTTACATCGTATCCTCTGGAGCAGGGGTGCTCAATACGTCGATCGCGATCTACCAGTCGATCGCAAAGGTAGTATTGGTAGATCGCATTAAATAAATAAAAAATTACACATTCTAAACGAATATATACAAAAAACTCCGGGCAAAGTGGAGATTTTTGAAAACTCCGTTAATGCATTTGTGTGTAGACAGAGATAACCGGAGTTTTGCGTTCTCGCACGCCACAGTACCCCCTAAATTCCTCTGATCACTGAAGCATGGATCATACTACCTTAAAAATTGTTCGCTGTGAGATGCTCGCAGCAGCGAACATCCTCCACATCAGAGAGCAGCAAAGTGATCGCGGGGACTCATGCTCGAAAACAACCAAACCAGGACTAAACCAGGACTAAACCAGGACTAAATCAGGGCTGAGGGGGTCAGTGCTTGTAAACATACGTCTTACTCTGAGTGTCTTCTATGACTGTAAAAGTGCCGTTACCGGCGTCTGCATCAAAGCTCCGCCCACTTCCGTGTTTTTCCCCAACGCAGGACAGGACGTAAGAGACGCACATGTTTGGAATGTTACGAATGTGATTGATAACGCAGATGTGTGGATGCAAATTATTTTATAAACGGAGGAGGGGAAATATTTGGATTTTAAAAAACCAGGCATGGCACATGGACATGGCACCACAGTCAAATTACATCTGTGTTTTACTCAGTAATGTTTTACTGACACTTAGGTGACTGCACATGCGCAAACAAACGCGCTCAGTGCAGGAAAGCTAAACCACAACAAACTTGTCAGCGAGTTACCACCAATTTTCCGGACTATGCATCCCTGGCCGATTCAATTCAGTGCAAGTCATCAGAGTAAACTCGGGTAATGACAAAAAATGTACATAGGTAATTGTGTTGTGTTGTGCTATATTGGCTCATGCGGTTTTGCATGTACATAAACATACATTGTAGATATAAAGAATATTTTTTGAAATAAATATATGATTTGCATTTTTGTAGTAGGTAGATCATTTTGACTTGATCCTTTTATAAGTAGCTCGCATGCTGAAAAAGTGTGAGCACCCCTGCTCTGGAGAGACTTGTCTATGGGAGAGACCTGTGGGACCACCTCGGACTATCTATGCTCGGACTATCTATGCTCGGACTACATTCGGACGCAAAACTAGCGGCAATCTTTCAGTTATATATTTTTGGCAGTGCGTTGCCTTTGTACCATTTCATCCGTGATTGTTGTACAGCTTAAGTTGCGCTAATTCTAATGTTAGCATATGTATCAGATCGCAAATAAAACTAGATGGCTCCGAGGGAAGAGGGCGTAGGGAAAATGAGAAGCCTGTGAGCGAGTTGAGGGGCGGTGCTAAACATTCAAACCTTGCAGAAACGTTTATAGCTCCTTTAAATGAAATACTTCTACTGTGTGTTTGTGTCTGTGGAACATGTTGGCTCGGTAATGCATCGCAAGACCTCATTACGAGAATGTGTTAGACTTGGAGGCTTTAATTGCATCTAGACAACTGGGACATACCATCCTGACAAACAGACAGACAAACACAATTCATCTTTACAAGGTACATGTTGTAAGTTATTCAGGAGGTAGACACATCCTGGCAGAGAAAAAAGCAAAAAAATAAACCATATTTCAGATTAGGATTCTCAATTATGAAAATGTGAAATTGAATGAAAAGAACAATAAAACATAAAAATGAATTTCGAAAACAAATAGGCTAACATAAAAACTGTTTGAAGAATGAGTGCTCTAGTCCATCTATATTATTATTCTTTTTAATCTGTACATGTTTTAAGATAGTGGCAGGCAACATAAGATTTTGTTTCTTCTCCCTGCTCACACACAGCTGCATGTATAGGATGTTATTGAAGTACACACGTGGCTCATGAAAAGCACACAGTCAAATTGCACATACGAAAATACTCAAAACGACGAGGACCCACTCTATATGTATGATTTTGCAACATTGCACAGAAATGTTGGCTCAATTTGTCTATGCGTATTTCTGCAGGCACACGTACACACACACACACACACATTCCCCCTGAACTATTGTACATGACGTTCGTAGTGGGGGAAGTGGGAGGAAGATGTAACGTTAAATGCTAGTCAGAAATCTTTCAATTTCTGATCAATATAGATGTTTAAAATGTAATCTATAACTCTGCCGCAGCAAAAGCTCATAGTTCATGTCGTCTCTTGGAGTGAATTTAGTTTCATTTGAATTCACTTTTTTCAACATGAACTGTTGAATAGCTGCCTGGCACTTTTGCTTAATCTCTCATCAAATCATGCAAATGGCCCTGTGTGTGTATGCACGTATGTGTGTGTGTGTGTGTGCGCGCGCATGTCTGTGTGTATGTCTGTCTTCCTGTGTGGGTGTGTGTATATCAATCAATCAAGTTTATTTATAAAGCACAATTCATGCAGTGCAACCCAAAGTCTTAGTGTTAATATACATAACAAAAAATCATACACATTTACAAGCATTATACAACTCATAGGGTAAAAACAATAATGCAAAAAAAAAAAAAACTAGATTTTATAACTCAATATATGAAACTCAGTCATACGCCAGATATAAACAACGGTTTTCAGCTTAGACTTAGATAATGGTAAAGATGAGTACATTGTAAGGAAGACTGTTCCAGATGTTTGGGTCATGCACCTGAAATGCTGCCTCTCTATATTAACCCTGACTCTGGGACCAGCAGGAGGCCAGTCCCTGTGCTCCTCAGAGTACGAGTTTGTTCATAAGACACTGATATGTCACTGATTTACCTGAGGCCATGGAGGCCATAGCTTTAAAGTCTATTCTCTGGGCCACAGGAGCCAGTGCAGAGACCTGAGGACTGGACTAAATTTATCATACTTCCTGGTTTTAGTCAGGACTCAAGCTGCAGAAATGTAAATGTACTGCAGCTGTTTTACCGCTCGTTTGTCTGTGTGTGTGTGTGTGGTCGCAGGTGGGCGGGGTGATGTGCCTGGTCCTGAACTCCCAGTTGTTCTTCGACGCCTCCGCCTGCCCGCAGCTGAAGGAGGCCCAGGAGACGTGGCTGGAACAGCAGCTGAGCCGGGCCTCTGCGTCCTCTGCCACGGTACAACACTGTTCTAAAGAGAGGCGTCCCGAGTTGTTCCCTCTGGTAACTGTGTGAATTGTGTCTCCCCGAACAGCAGCCCAAACCCAAACACGTCCTGGTCTTCCAACACATCCCCCTCTACCTCAAGAGCCCCGACGAAGACGACGACTACTTCAACCTGAGAAGGGAGGTCCGACAGCAGCTCATGGACAAGTTCAAGAGGGCAGGTAGGACGGGAACGGCATTTAAAGACATCAGAATCATATTAATATTTTTTTTGTATTTGTCTATTGCCCATTGTAAGTAACAAGAAGTCACAAACTAGGAATTTGCTTTGGCTCAAGGTACAAACAAGTCGTACACATAAAAATAGGTAAAGACATGCATAAAAAACATCTTCATAACATTTCTTAAAATAGTTTATACAAGCACACACACAATAGACCTGACATGCAACATCTTTTTGTGTTTTTTATCTATACATTTTTATAAACAAAAATATAAGTGTTCTTGTTTTGTTTTTTTGTTCATTATTTTTGCAATACTCCGAGATTCACACTTGACACTTGAGGAAAAGTATGAGATCATTTTCAACAATCAATCTTAAATAAATGAAATATTATTTTTTTTTTACTTGATTTATTTTATTTATTTATTTATTTGACAGGGACTTTGCCCAATAAATGCATTATTCTGACCGGACATGGCTACTAGCTCATTTTCATCCGCCTGAATCTTCGAATGGTTTAAGATAAGATAAACTTTATTGATCTCACAATGGAGAAATGTACACGTCACATTTGACACAGAGACACTCAGGTTGTGTCAGGATTTAGCAGACAGAAACGGATCGTGGTGCGCCAAACTCTGGAAGTTTATTTAAGTTTCTCTCAAGTTCCACTGGTTTACTCTGTTTCTTTCTCCCAGACAGAATAAAGGCAGTACACAGTTTATATAGTCATTGTCACGTCACACATCGAAAGACATACGTGTCACAAAGAGACAGTCACATCATAGTCATAACATGGAGTCCTTGTAGAGTCCTTGTACAGTTCTGCACGTAGGCCATATTGCTATCTAATACTAACAGTTGTGCAGAAAGAAGGAAGTGTGCAAACATGTTCGAGGTTACAAATATTCTGTCTTTTGTGTTTAGCCCTCTATTGTATCGAAGTCTCCTGTATTAGATCTGTATGGTATTGTGTCATGTGTAATGAGATGCTATGGCAGACTTTTAATTTATTTTCTGAATCTGTGATATGCTACGATGGCTCGATCTGAGAGGAGCATACTTATTTGCTGACGTCGTTGGGCAGAGTGATACGATACCAATCTTGGTCTTGATCATGTCGGCCAGTGTTTTTAAACCAGTGTGTCGTGGAACGCTAGCCTGTTTGCTGTGTCTTTGGAAATGATCCATTAGCCTTTGATTGATCAAAATGTGGATCCCTACTGGTGCTCTGTCTGCAAATGAAGTTCATCCATCCATTTTCTTTCCCTTAATCCATTTCTGGGTGAGGGGGGTGGGAGTCAGAGCTACACCCCGTACACATAGCACCAGCCCCTCCTGATCCTCCGGCAGGTGGTATGTCCACAGAACGATGGCTGCTCTGTTTGGTGACAGTATAGCCTTGATCTTTCAGCAGAAGCTTCAGGCAAAGTGGGGTTAAGTGTCTTGCCCAAGGACACAACAAAAGCTGACATCAGTGGGAGTCGGTGGAGAAGGTCTCGTGGTGGGCTCGAACCCTGAGCCTGAAGGGTCTTGGACATTTATGCTCTTCCAACTGAGCTGCTGTCGCCCCTCCAAAGGAAGTTCCTCACGGATAAATAGTATTTAAGAAAATTTGAAAAGAACATCTGAGAAAATAATGTAAGATTAGAAATACTTTTTTACGCCTGTTTGGTCTTCTTTATAAAACGCTTGAGGATAAATGACTGTGCTTCGTTAATAAAGACCGCAAAGTTTCAGTTTGTATCAGTTTCAGCTGGTGGTGTATCATGTGATTGTTTTAAATGAGAAGGATTTGCCGCAGCTCAAAAATGTGGGTCAACACGGATGTAGGGACTGTGGCTGTTTCTTCCCTGGTGTCTGCTTGGGTTTAATATCCTCCAGTGGAGGTCCTGACTCCTGACAAAGCCGAGCATCAACATCTGAAGATTGGCCCCTGGGCGCTGGGTAGAATAGATTCTCACTATCTAATAGGCAGAAGTATGTTTTATCGTCTCCTGGAATAAATATGGCTACAACCTTATCCATCGCAACATATGCATAAATATCGAACATGGTTGTTTTTTCACGTGATAGATACTTTATTGATCCCCAAAGGAGAAATTCATGTTCCCAGTAGCAGCAAAAACACATCCATCCACACAAACAAAACAAATAAATTGATCATTCTAAAAATCTAACATTAGTAAAAGGCTACAGCACCTAATGTCACAGCAGCAGAGGTGGAGTTTCTGCTGTGGTCCAAAGAAAAATGCTGAATGCTTGGTTAGTATTTTTCAATATGTTAGCAATCCTTCAGTGGATTTTCGCCCGATCCGCTTGGTTCGGACCATGAGCCCTCTCCGCTCCGATCTGGACCAGCGCAAAACCATGAACTCTGTACTCCAGCAACATCTCAGGTAGAAAACAAGCAAGGCTTTCCAGGGCATTGAAAAATAAACGAGTAGCTATCAATAGTAGTAGTATTAAAACCAACAGCACTTAAGGTCACAGCAGCAGAGGTGGTTTAGCTGCCGGGTGGAGATAATAGCATATCATTCATCCAAAAGCCATTTGAAGACCTGTATTTGGACACGTTTCGCCTGAAGACAGTGTCTCTTGTGAAGCCTCTCTTATGGAGAGTAAACAGCCCGGTCTGGCTCCTTACTCTGAGGATTAATCCCCCATTAGCCATAGGCACAATAAGAGCATCTTGCACATACATAATTGAATTAACAATCGCTTCCTGTCAGGAGAATAATTCCATAATCAGAATCCATTGTTGTGGGATTAGAAGTGTCTGATAGAGGAGTGCTCGGCTGGCAAGGACAATAAGTCTTAACAAAGCACACGCACACACACCCCAACACTTTTGACTGACGGGACCTCTTACACGGACATGCTTCCCAATCATGCATCAAGGTGACTGGCCAGAGATGCCACTCATTTCATTACTCCGTCATTATTGCCGAATGCATTTAACTGCGTGGGCTGTGCTCCGCTGACCCCCCGCGCTTGTAATTGATTGTTTCTCCCAACGAACAGCAGTTAAAGATTCAAAGGGCAGAAGTACAAGCTTGTCGTACGAAGCCTAGTGTCGCCGTTGCGGAACATGACACGAGCAAGTGGTTCTTTCTTATCCGCGACCTTGTTCACGCTTGTCCCATCGCCATTAGCCATTCCGGACGTACATACCTACACAGACACAGAACATGTAGATGTGTGGTTAATTATGAATGATGACTGTAGTGTAGCTGCTCATGTTTGTATGCATGTTCATATACGGTACAAGGGCTTCCAGCTGCAGAGAGCCCGTGATTATGTCTGATCTCTGATTTATGGAACAGTCTCAACAACGGGCTTCATGAACTTGTCAGATGAAGGCTGTGAAAGCGGCTCTCAGCTCTCTGCCTGCCCTCTAAACCTGTCACCTTGGACATTTATACTTGTATAATAAAAGTATGTTAGACTCCTATGGGGCCTGAGGATCCGCCATTGGAAAAAGATTAAAAGTGCATTGTGCAACTGTTCTGAGGGGGTCAGGTAACTGCTTCCTGGGCTTGGAATGTTGCTCAGTGGCTTGGAATGTTGCTTAATTCATTGTCTGCCATTTGACGTGCAAAGACGTCAAATCTATTAGCTGTCTCTGTATGTTTTGAGATTAGGATTAGATTAGGCGCACTTATTGCGCCTTTTTTTCTCAGCTTTTTGTCTGAGACTGGTGATTTCAGTTCAACTTCCCTCTACTTGACTGTATTGACATCAGAAACTGCTGGCAATATGGGACTACCTGTTCTGAAATGGGCTGGCAGGCAATGAGTTAAAGAACTTAATTTGTACAGTGGGAAGACTTGCCTCTCCACAGATAACTTGTACATTTTGACATAGTGAAGTCATGTTTCCAGTGGAAAGTGGAAAGTTGAATGCCAAACTGTCCTGCCATTTTAATCCTGGGTCTACAGCCTGAGTCATGGATCTGTAGCATGTCCGTTTATGGGAGTGGGTCCCTCTAAATACGGATCTCCTCATTCCTTGCAGATCCAGGAGGTTCTAAGGACAGTGATGATCTGGGACATTTATGCACATTTATTAACATTTATTGAGATTGCTCATCCCACTCTTTATAGACTAATGGTTCCGATGTGTTTTTATTATTATTACATTTCTCCGATCTGTTGTTGTTGAATTTACATTTTTCTGTCCCCAGAGATGACTGCAGTTGTGATTAAGGTGACTGTGATTTTTTATTTGCTCAATATACCCCCATATTTTATAAAGATTAAAGAAAATGTGCAGCCACAGATGCACAAGATCAGCTACAAACTATGGAAACGCTTTGCCCCTTTCTTCCCTTCTACTCTTTAAATATAATCTTTTTTAAAATAAATAATTAAACTGAAATAACCCTAACCCTGGGGTAAATGAATGCCCCTGGCCGAACAGGACAGTTGTGGATACACCTTTAATTTAATAACATTGATTTGTTAAATTTGTCAAAAACACTGCTTCCTGTGGCTCGGAGAATAGACAACAGCTCTGTTTGTTACAAGTCTCTCCACGGCCTCAGTGCGTCTGTGCCATGTTAGTGCCATGTTAGTGCCATGTTAGTGCCATGTGAACCAACTCGGACTGAGGAGCACAGGGACTGGCCTCCTGCTGGTGCCCGGAGTCTGGACTAAACATGGGGGAAGCAGTATTTCAGATTTATGCCGCTAAAATCTGTCTTTTCTGACATTGTTCACATCCAGGTTAAAAACAGTTCTGTTAGCTGCAACTGAAGGCTTTTATCTTCACTATGTTCACTTTACTGTAAATATCTGTGATGTTAATGTGTATGAGGTCGTGTGTGTGATTAATTCTATCTTGTTTTGTTGAGCCCTGTGCTATACAAATAAACCCGCCTCGCTATATTTATTTTTCTTATATAAAACTATTGATATTTTGACATTTTTACATCGCTACATACAACACAGACCTTTCATGAGACTTCTCCCTAACCCCATTTCATCTCAGTCAAAATACAGAAGTGGAGGTAAGTGCTTTGTGAGGAGTGTGTTTGTGAAGTGGGTCCCTGTGATGTCGCAGCTCCCTGTTCGTGCGCTTCAGAAGTGTTGTGTATTCTGAGTGTGTCCTGGAGGCACTCGTCGTAAAGACTCTGTGATCATCTCTGTGCTCTCTCCACATGTTTGTAGTCCGAGATCTTTTCAGCTCCTCTGCAGCGCTGAAGAGAAGCAGGGCTACAAACACAACCTAGGCGTGGCTCCTAGTTAAGGATCAGTCAGAAAACAACAACTTTAATTATTTATTTAAGTTAAGACACATTTTATTGATCCCACAAAAGAGAAATTTACACGTCACAGTTGCCAGACAATGAAAAAGAATCAATGCGCAGTTTGAAAAGAGGTTGGACACACACACATGCACACACACACATACGCAAGCTCATACACACACACACACACACATGACTTCAGAATGGAAAGTGTTTTAAAACATTTTAATTCTGTTTTCAAGGGAATTTTAGTCAAACAAGCAAATGTGTAACGAGTCCTCTATGAAGATTGTTGTCCAGGAAAATCACTGGAGCGTCAATGTTGAAGAAATCATTTTACATTTATGGATTTTTATCAACACTTTTGGACATTGGTCATCTGCCCCTTTTGAACTCCTACCAATGTGTTTTTCTGTTTTATTTGTTGTGTTTAAACTCTTGGATTCTCTAATCGGTGTTGGCTATACAGGAATAACTTGAATTGAATTGAATTGGTGGGATCTACTTGACAATTTGGGGTGGGTTTCTTCTGAATCAAATATCAGTGGGTATTTTTGTCATCTTTCCTCTCTGCTCGCCTCCTGTCCTCTGCCATCATCAACCCCGTAGTTTATCTTCCGTTAAAACCCATCTCCTGGATTGAGAAACACGAGGCTTATATCCGCCACAGCAGTTTCCATAGCAATTATGCAATCGGTTAAGTAGGTCAAACCGTACCGAAAATGCACTCTGGCCTTTCTTTAGTGCGTTTAAAATACAGTTACATACTCTAACACGGACATGGGATGCATCTGGCAGAACAAAACCCCCAGTGGAGCTTCTCCACTTCTCTCCAGAGGCTCAAAAAAAAAACCCGACGTAAACGAGTGAAGAATTGCGGAAAAAGCAGCACACGTTATTGCAAAAAGAGACCAGGTCGGGTACTGTACGTCTGTCTGGCTGTCATTAGGGCGCGGAACCAGGGCGCGTTCATCCGTGTTGAACCCTTGTCTCTTCTGAAGGTTTTCTCTGTGTACAGGTTTATTTGCGGATTGTGTGTGTGTGTCTGTGTGCGTGTGTGTGTGTGTGTGTGTGCCTCCAGATGTGCTCTTCCATCGCCATGATCATTACTATCATTACAGTGTGGGCCAGTGTCATTACGCTCGCACACGCTCCCCTGTCGCCGCGAAGGATTGGTAGAAAGCGCATGGACGGCCGCGCTCTAATTGACGCTACAGAAGCTCGGGCGTCATTTTTGTCTTTGATTTTCTACTTCACTAAGTATTTTTCAATGATGAAACAAGACGGTTGCATTCCTTAATCTTCTCGTACCTACCCCTGGCGGAGGAAATAAGATTCTCACAGGCGCCCTAATTATATTATTTTTGTGCTCTGGAAGCTCTTTGTAGTTTTCTACCCTAGTTTTGGCTGTATTCATATATTTAAAGAAAACGTGCTTATGTCTGCTTTTTGATAAGAATTACAGCTGTGATTCGCATTTCACAGGTGTAATTACATTTTCAGATTATATTTAGTACATTAGAGCTGGCGCAAAAAGGCAAGTTTGTTTGAATAGCAGAGTACACAAGGCAACTCAAAAGTCTTACATAATCACAGTACATTAAAAAGTAACAAAGTTACAATCCCTCAGTTGTGTGCACAGCTAAACAGAACTGAATTTTTCATAGAAGAAGCTTGCCCCACATTTTTAGGAAGACTGTTCCAGATTTTAGCTGCATACATCTAAAATACTGCCTGGCCAGTCCCTGTGCTCCTCATGTGGTGTTTGACGCCTTGACAGTAAAATGTTACAGTTGGGTATTGGTTTGGCCTTTTGTTTACATGAAGACAGGTGAAAAAGTTGAGAAACAGCCCAGAGTGGAACAGAACAGAGATGCTGCTGTGGGGGCTGTTTCTCTGTGTAGAAAAAGGTGTGAATTCTCTGCTGCTGTGATAACCTCAGCACTTCGCCCACGTACATTTGGACATGTGCAGTAGCCGAGAACAAACGTAAACAACAATGGCGGCGGGTCGACTAATGCTACGTGTGCTTCGCCAACAGAGGATTCTACTTCTTTGTCCAAACCGACCACGAAGATTCAGTTTCCATTTTCACTGCTGTTAAAGGCAGAATTTGGTTCTTTCCTCTCTTTGACAGGAAAGAAGGATGTTGTTGGAAGTGATTGCACTGGTGTGTTGAGAAGTTCCACTGCCCTCTACTGCCCGGGTGCGTCGTCGTGTAGACGCTTAGCACTTTGCATACAAAGCCTGCCCATTTTTGCTAATTCTTTTGCAGGGTCTTTGTCTAAACGGGGCCTCAGAGTCCCAGCAGGAGGCCAGTCCATGTGCTCCTCAGCCAGTGACCAGTCTCTGTCAAAGTGTCTAAAGCCTAGAGTATACTTGCGCGGCGTGGCTTACGTTAGCGGTTGCGGTGGACCTACGTAAGCACAATTGATGTTGTACTGGCGCGTTCCCCTTACGGAGTTTTGAGGAGAATGTTGTAATCCCACAACAAACCACATGAGGGCGATCACACAGGAGCGGCCCCATTTACGCTGCTACTTTGTCCTCTTCAGAACAACAATAACAAACAAAGCTGTTTGAGCTCATTACACGTGTTTCTACTGTAGGTTTATGTGATAGTTTTATGGATTCATTATTTTATAAGTCATTTCAACTGTGATGCTGTGAATAAAGACACAGTTCTTGTTGGAAACATAGTTATTATTAAATAGTTTTCAGCACAAACAGCAAAACAATAATAGTGGTAAATATCTGAGACAAACATGAACGATTTACGAGTGCAGGAGGAAAGCAACAAACGCAGCTACGATTCAAACAAGACAGGAACAGTGCAAAACAAACGACTGCACAGTTTATAAGTTATATATATGTTAGATATAAGTTATATATATGTTAGATAGTCCACAGTCTCCTGTATATCAGGCTCTGAGCCCAAACTGCTTTTCCTTCAAAGCACAAAGCTCTCTGCTCCATAGTGCCTCGTCCATGCTCCTGCTGCAGCCGCTCCGTGCTTCCTTCCAATACACACACACGGACCAATCACAGCGGAGATTCCTTGCGGCGACCCTTACGTAGTTAGAAAATTTCGATGCTGCAGGGCAGGCAACGTAAGGGCCTTGCGGTGACCAACGCGTTGCGCAAGTGACGTCACGTCACCTCCGTAAGCTCCGCGCCGCGCGAGTATAAACTAGGCTTAATAGTGACTCACACAGCTTTTTCTTTTCTTACTTATACAAGACTCTTTCCGTTGATGAAATAGTTATGAAACCAAAAAGCTTGGGACCCCAGCTTTAATATGTGACAAGTTTAGCAAATCAATACAAACTCCCAAAAACTCTTGAAAAACCAGCGAGCGTTTCATGTGCGAATCAAAAGCATAACCTTCTTGTAGTACTACGATCTGTGTTAATATTTCATACCATCGCGCGGATCAGAACCATGTGTCCAAAATGCTCAAAGTTCCTCTAAATGGAAAGTAATCACATTCTGGGCCAATGGCGTTACACATTTTCAACGATTGTTCTTGCTTTTTAAATAATTCACTTCAGAACATCAGAGTAATCTTCCAAAACAGAGACTTTGTAAAATGTCCTTATTTCAGTCTTGGACTTCTTGGATGTTATTTTGAGTTGTATTTGATAGAAACCCATATTCCGCTCGGGGCCTTGGCTCTTGTGAATCCGTTATATTGTTATTGCCACTATTGGGTTTTCTGCCACCTCTCTCTCTTTCCTACACTCTCCCCACTCATGTGACTTGCGATGTAAGTACATACTGTTGCCCCCTGCAGAAATAGAGAAGTATTTTAATTGATTTTTCTCCTTACAGCTGTGTATTTCATTCCTCTCCCTTTCCTCTGGTTCATCTCTAATTCATGCTGGAGTAATTTAGTGAGGCCTGATGTGAGATTTCTTCATGTTTAACGAAAAAATGTCCAAGCAGCCAGGGATACATTCTTCACACGATGAAACTGTGTGAAGAATGTAGAAAACTCAAACTCAAGAGGCGACAGTGGTTCAGTTGGTAGAGCATTGGCCTTTGAGCCTGAAGGTTGTGGGTTCGAGATCACCGCGAGACCTTCTCCACCGACTCCCACTTGTGTCGTTGTGTCCTTGGTCAAGAGACTAAACCCAACTTTGCCTGCGGCCCCCGCTGAAAGATCAAGGCTATGCTCTTACTGACAGTGCAGCCATCAGAGAGGGGCTGGTGCTCTGTGAATTGGGTGGAGCTTTGACTGCCAACCCCCCTCCCTCCCGACCCAGAAAATGGATTAAGGGGAAGAAGATGGGTTGATGGAAGGAAGAAACAATCACACAAGCCATTCAAATCAGTACAGCACACTTTAAAAACTGTCATGGTGTTGTATGCATAGCTAACTGTTTTTTACCTGGATTTGTCATAGAAGAAGCCTGCCTCACATTTTCAGGAAGATTTTAGCTGCATGAATCTGAAATGCTGCCTCCCCATGTTTAGTTCTGACTCTGAGTGTATTTGTCACAGCGAGTTCATTCCTGTCCTATTTGGCAAGATATTATTTGTATAGTACAGATTATATACAAGGCAAAGATTGTAAACAGCTTCTAGATCATGTTTATGTAGGTTCATATTAATCAGAGAGGATTGTCTACCTTTGAACACATATTCTTAATATCTTTGTGGCACGGTGATAGATTGATTCCACCTCCAGGACATTCTGCGTGGAGTTTGCATGTTCTCCTTGTGTCTGTGTAGGTTTCCTCCAGGTGCTCTGGTTTCCCCTACGACTAAAAACATGTACAATAGGCGTGAATGGTTTCCCCTACGACTAAAAACATGTACAATAGGCCTATGTGCCAGAGTTTTCGGCGTCTCGCTTCTGTCTTCACCGTTTGTGGAGTGAATGGGACTTAAACCCATTTTGTAAAGTGCTTTGTGTGACCTTGGTCAGTGAAATCTACTGCATAGATAAAGATTACTTACTTCCTACATGCCAGGATTTTTTTGATCAATTAATTAG